AAACACATCTCAATTAAATTGCCACTTGCTCAAATTTGCGCACGCTCAAACTTCTCTTGTACATTAGCCTACCTAATTATTATTAAAGGAAAAGAATTAATTACAAAGTTCAAATAAAATTATAAAAGGGAAAAAAAAAACGTCCTTAAAGCAAAATTTTGGGGCATTGAGTCACGGTGAACGCCATAATTGGCAACTTGTAGCAAGAGAAAACGCTTTGAGAGTATTCGTCAACGTTAGTTTATGTAGACGAATACTAATGGTACTGTCTCCAACTAGTGCTCTTTTTTCCTCCTTTTTGTAAAAAAACAAAAAAAAAAAAAGGATTTTTTTCGTTAATTATTCAATTGTCATAAAATAGTATTTACATTTTCAAAAAAAATAATATATGTTTAAATAAAGGAATAACTAGCACCAGAGAAAAGTTACACATCCCAAGTGGCAAATAGAAGAAAAATATTTATTGTCTGCATCATCATTTAGTAATTAATGCAATTGTTCTTTAGTTAACAAATGATCACATATCTTTCGGTCATAATAAACTTTTGGGACCTTCTCTGGGAAATTGGTCAGGCAAACCAACTTATCAGTAGGTTAAATTTTTTAAAATCACTTAAAAGTTAAAAAATATTTAGATTTAACGGTTAAAATATTATGACATATCGGTACGCCATATTAGAGAATCTCCTTAAACTTTTACACAAGAATTCAAAAAAATTTTACATCTCTTATTGGCTTAAGATTTTATTCACACCCCACGCACCAAAAAATTTTCATTTTTTCCCCCTAATTGATCTCTCTCTCTCTCTCTCTCTCTCTCTTTTAACTTCACTGCACATTATGTCCTAAGAGCTTAAATAAAATTAAAAATAAAATAAAAACATTTGCTGTTCTATACTTACAGAAATCATTAGGTAACAAAAGTTCTGTTTCTAGTACTAGTATCTTATTTTCTGCATTTCAACATTGAATGATAAAAAAATTTGTTCAAGTAAAGTTAAAAAACTGAATACTAGCTAGCTAGTCGCCAATTCTTACCTCCAACATGATTTCCGTGAATATATGTTGGAGAAAGTAAAGTTAAAAAGAGCACGAAATTGTTAATAGATTGAAACTGCGATAACTGATGCGAAGTTTAACTAGAAATAAAAGTATACGATGTACATACGTCGTACGTAGGTGAAGTTCTGTATATAATATGTTTTTGACAAATATATTCGCCGACCTTTGGAAAAAATACACATTTTAAGGATTAAATCTCATGATCATCATTTCCCACGAAGGGTATATGTTATACACTTTTGATTGCTTATATTTACTCCACTACTGAGAAATATATATATATCCAGCCCCAGTGTATTGACCTTGAGCTCAAAACCCGAAAGAAAGAGGAGTAATATATATACAACATACATACATGTATAGATGCACGTAATGTCAAAAATGTATTTCTTCAAAATTTGGTAGCCAAATGGTTCCTTTTAGGGAGGAAATTAAATAACACACAACATGCATTGAATGGCGGTGGGGCCTTGAAAGCAATATCTTTCTAGGAAGAAAGTACTAGTACCAAACATGTAACATTCAATAGTGTTTTGTAATTTCAAATTTCATGAATATATCTAAATTTGAAATATTTTCTCCATCCTCCAACTTTAAATAACTTTTTTGGCATATCTGTGTCGTTGAATATAATATCGACAGAATCAAAAGGGGGTCCGGCTTGGACGTTGAAAGATAAGTGCGTGAAATTAAATTTTACACCATACTTCCATCATTAACGAGTTTTCCATAATAAAGAAAATTGAAAGCTCCCACAACAACTTTCTTTATTTCCATGACCGCAGTCTGGTGGAATCAATTAAAAAACCCTATTTCTAAAACCAAAGCTAACCGAATAAATGTATGGCATTTATAATTATAAATACTTCTACCTAAACTTAAAGATAATAATAAAAGAGATGATTAATATTTTAGGGTTACTCTGGGTTTTGCATAGTACTAGAGAGTAGTACTACTGCTCAAAGCTACAGGCCTCTCGGACGGAGAATATGGCTATTGAGATCATGATATCAATTGTACGGCCCTGTTGTAAGTTTAAACTGCTGTGCTTGGCTTTCAATCTTGAGCGAATTTCGACGGACTCGCCTTTCCATGGAAGGCGATTGATGACGAATCGAGATTCAAAACCCCTTCTAAGTACCAAATTCTCTAGTATGATATCATGATGAACACCGAAAATATTCAGTTCAGATCAGTTTAGTTAATTTTTTAATATTTTTAATGATTCCGACGAGCAGAAATTCTGCCCTCTGGAATTGAAGCAATTATACGACAACATATTACCACCATATATACCTGACATATCTATGCCGTTCTGATCTCCTAAGCTCTATGTAAAGCTTCACCTTCTCAGTTAGGGGAATATATAAGTATGAACTATATAAATATATAAATATACATAGACACACACACAACCCCAAAGTTATATATGTTAAGTTCTCTAGGCTAATTTATAAGATTGTAAAGAACAACACGTATACGATCACGCGAAACAATAAAGTATGATAAACAAATTGCAAGTGATCACAGCACCACAGATTTAAGGCCACTCTTGGATAACTCATTTTGTCTGATTTGTTATGACCAATTTCACAAAGGTGTTTGGGTCCTAACTGTGATTTGAACAAGATATATGGCTCATTTAAAGGTGGAATATGTTTCTCATTTTGTAAAGAAGAGTTTCCGAAAGACAGTTTTTCTTTTGTTAAAAAAAAAAAAAAAAGAGTTTTCCATAAGCAGTTTCTCATTTCTCTTCCTCTTTAAAAATTTTTTTTTTTTTTTTTAAATTGAAAGGAGGTTTGGAAATACAAACAATGATTCAATATAGAATCTTTTCATTGAACAGTCGACATCCATAACAGGCACTCAGACACCTTAATGCACACGTCGGCTATAGAGGTGTTTTTATTATGTTTTTTTTTTTTTTTTCTTTTCATTATTGATCCCTCTCTCTATTCTATTGCGTGCAAAATAAAAATAGTTAGTTTTGCGTAGGCTGCATCTTGAGTTTTAAAATGTATACCTTATATTTAAATGTGCTAAAGAATATAACACACACAAATGGACTTTTATAAATCACAACATCTTCTTGTAACATCTTTAGTCACAATATTTTTATGTGACTAAATGTACTTCCAGTCACAACCTTGTGATTAATATACAAATTAATAGTCACAAATTTCTGGCTTTTTTGGTTTAATGCGGACGGTTTACAAGTTGCTCGTGGACGATTTGGGCTTATTAGGCTAATATAGGCCTTATTAAGAAACTAACTAAATATATACTTGAACATAATTTTATAGTTATGTTTTTATATGCTTTTCAAACAATCATACCAAATTACTGTCTTTTTAAGCTAAAATTAATTAATAACCAAACATTAATCAAGCACCACTCAGATGTATCATGAAACCCTCATAATACTTGTTAAAAAGAATAAAAGTCAACGATCAACAGCAAACATAGTTACTTAATAAAACCCCAAAATATATGTTAATAGAAAAATAAGTAAACTTAAGGGGAAAATACCCCAAAATTGTCATAAATTCATAACAATGCAAGTATAATCCCATAGATTATTGAGGTTTTGGTCAGTTTGAGTAGTGAAACCCAAACCAAAACCGTCCGTTAAAACTTGAAGGTGAGAGAGGTTGCACCTCTGGTTTGACGCTACGTACATGAGTTAACATTAAAAAGAAAATACAAATAGCTCCAATTGCAACATAAAATAAGCAAGCCAAAAAGGCTTACAAACTCGACCAAAAATTAAAGGAAAGCATAAACTAGTTGAGGCTCAAGAAATATTTTGATCCTGAACTGATGAATTTATTGTCCCTTGCAAACTTATGGGATAAATATGATTAGCAAAAAGAGTTATGTATAAATATGTAGCCAAACGCTACTTAATGAATTTACTTTCTTTCCAATTTAACTTGCAAATAATTTTTTTACCTTTTTTTCCCTCTCTCCTTTCTTTAGTAAACTGCTTGTTTAGTGGTTTGTTAGAAGTACTTCATACGTTCTCAAGTTGCGAAGGATTTTTTTTGGGAATGCAAAGAGTATCAATTTGACATAAATTTAAAATTGAAAGACACAATATTAAAAGCTTGTTTGGGAGAGCTTCTTAAAAGCTATTTTTGACTTCCTAACTCTTAAAGTTGCTTCTAAAAGTGTTTAGATGATGTTTCAGAAGTGCTTCGATTTTTCTGAAGAGCTTTTAGTTAAAACCACAAAATGTGACTTATAATATAGGCACTTCTTAATAGACATTAAAACTTGTACTAGAGTTTTATTAAGGCATTATAAATTTTATTCTAACACTTTTATTACTTATTAGAAAATTAAAAATTATTTTAACCTATTAAACTCTTTTATTTTAAACAATTACTAGAAGTCACAGCTTTTATTTCTATGCATTCCTGCAGTGTATCCAAACTAGTTTCTGTTTATCTATTGGGCCACAAAATATGTAGTGCTCACAACTCCTGTGTTCATTTATGTGTTCCCATAGCGAGAGTAATGCAACTGAACGTTACCACAAATCTATTGGGCCACCACTTCATGGGCTGCATTGCGCACTTTGAGCTTTTGTGCTTGTATAGATTGAGTAATCATGAAAACTCTTACATTTTAATTAAGTTCACATCCAAGATAAAATAAATCATATACAAGCCCTACAAACAAACACAAGAATTTTAAAAGAACTGGAATCTAAACTACTTGTGAGTGAATCTAACTTGCAGGAGTAAAATGATTGCCTTTACTTTGATGTGTACTTTTGTGATGTTTCTTTATAATTGATGGGGTTAAGATATGGTCAACTTTATAAATTCATATCATGTAAAATAAACATTTTCTGGTGTTCCGGTTCTAACTCAAATGATCAGAATTACCAAAACCATCAAAACACACTAGTACAATGTCCATCTTTTGCTTGTTTTATGTTGTAGAAGCAACCAAAAAAAAAAAAAAAAGGGGGTATTTTCCTAAACTGAACAAAGTAATTACCACCCTTGTCTTCTTCACATCCCTCTTGCTCCCACCAACTAACTCACTCCCTTTTCCCTAAAGCCTCGTGCTTTTCAAGATATACACAAATTATGTTCAAGTTGTTAGACTTTCATTCTCAAAAAGGGGTCTTCAGAAATCTTTTCTATGCACATGACAAATTCTCTGAAATCAGCGACCAATTTCGAAAACTTGGACCGATATCTCTAAAGTAGCTGCATGTTTGGTGTTGCCTCCATGTTGTTATATGCAGCCTTTGACTTTGTCAATCTAAATCCTCTTGATGAGGAGGATGTTGAGCTAGGAGAGGAAGTGGACTTGCTCTTTTTCCGCTTTGGTTTCTTCGGAATGTTGGGAAGGTCATTAGGGGGAATGTCTGTGAACATCTCCGACGCGGTTTGGCGTCCCATGGACTGCTCAAAATCTGTTGAGAATTATTAGAGAAGAAGAAGAAAATCAAAGAGAGAAAATTGTCAATGGTGTTAATTATCTTGCAAACTACCACAAACTACAATGAAGAAAACAATGCCAATAATGTAAGCAGAACCTTATATCAGTTTATTGCCTCCGCCACTGATATAAAGTGATAATGACAGACAAGTAAATCCAGAAAGAAATTTATCATAGTTTGATTAGTTGGAAAGAGAGCCTAAATATTCAAATTACATGCTTACGTGAAGAGCGAAAAGGAAGTTCAGTCAAATAATACAGAGTGATCCGTGAAATGAAGGAAGAAAGTTCATACCAAGAGAAGTAAAAAAAAAATAAATAAAATAACATAAAAAAGAAGATCCTATTAACTCACATGTATTACTGTGGATTTCACAGGAAAATTATGGACAAAGATTCAAGAATTTCCTTTAAACCAACCAAAATTCAGTGTATAGACTCTAGAAACCATAACAGAACTTCGAACTGCACTGACAGCTCATATATAGTCTGTCAAATATAATTTCAATATAAATTAAACAAACTTATAAGTTTTTATACGGATTGGAATCCTTTTAGAACTTAATGTCAACTATTGTAGTAGTGTCCCAATCAACAATGTCCCAATAAACATTTGAAATGTCTTTGCCATCATAGTAAGAAAAACCATCTCACCAAATCAACTTTAACATTTAAGCATTTCAACAACAAAAAAAAAAGAAAAAAGAAAAAAGAAAAAAGAGGAGAACTACGAAAATAAAGGCGAAAATGTTAAGAAATCAAATTTGCTATTATTTATCATTAGCGTTGCTTAAGGCAGTGAACTATTTGATTCCCTGGATAGTAAAATTGTTATCCCCGTGACAGTAACAGCCAAACTGATCTTCCTGTTGAGGCAAAGAATCTTTAAACTCTTTAGCATAACTTTACAATTCCGAATGATCCCACAAACTAAAAATGGCCAAATATTTATCCACGTTCTTCAACCAAACTATTTACTATTTAGCCCGTGAAAAGGCCTCTCGAGTGTTGTACTTGTCTGATTATATATAGATAGATGCTGCACAGTTGCACATGGAAAGCTAGCTACGCATAGTTTAGTGGTACAAATATTAGAAAAGCCATAAACTGGCCAAATCATTTCTCTGCCCCTCTTTTGATAAGCGTCAAAACACTGTACTATGTTGTCCTATTTGTGAACATGTAATGCTAAAAACCAGGAAAAAAAAAAAGAAAAAGAAAAAAAAAAGGGTTCTTCTACAATCCCTTCCGATAGTGCAGGTTTCTGTCCCTCGATCAAAATCACAACAAAATGAAAAAATATACAAAACTCAACGCTTAAAACAGAGACTTACTGGTATTTTATTTTTTCAAACTTCAGTGTAGAAATCTCCAAACAAAAGAAAAAAGAAAAAAGGAAAGAAAGAGAACATACCTTGAGAGGACCATGTGGAAAGAGCTAGAGGATTGGAATCACGTCGGTCACTGATGTTGGCAAGAGATGTTGCTGAGAAATCTGATGAAGTCTTGAACTCGTTCATCTGTAAAAAAATATTTGTGCCCAATTATATCATATTCCAATTTTCAGCCAATGAGAATTTAAGAAAATGCAAGAACATGGGAGGCGAGATAATTACTAGAAAAATATATGGGGAAAATTTTGTGGACAACTTACCCAACTGGGTGCACTGCCAGATGGGCCATCCCATCCAATGTGTGCCACGTGTTTAACATCTGTTGGGAACCCAATTTCCATCTCTCTCTCCTTCACAACTACAATAAGATTGATTTTATTATTATTATTATTATTTTTTTTTTTTTTGGCTATCTCTCTTAGCCCCAAATCATGAATGTTAATTGCAAATGCAAAACATTATATGAAAGAACATAGAAAGACAATATTGAGAGACAGAAAGTGGTATGTGTAATTACCAAAGATTTGGGAGATTAATTTGAAACTTTTGTAGATTCCTTTCATCTTGGTTGCCATGAAGGAAACCAGGAGCCCAATGCCAGAGACGCCTTTAGAGAGAGAGAGAGAGAGAGAGAGAGAGTTCTTTTGCCTGCCGGAAAGTAGAAGTACCCTTTAGAGAGAGAGAGAGAGAGAGAGTTCTTTTGCCTGCCGGAAAGTAGAAGTACTTGGTTGATTTTTATTAACTATATATTGAACAAGAACGAATTAAAAGGACTTTGGAGCTTCAGACAAGACTCGTTTGCATGTGATTTTGGAACTTTTTACTTTCCCTGTGAACGAAGGCTGGTATCTAATCACGGAATGAAAAGATAAAAAACAATGTCATTAACCAAAAAGATGCCATTTTGAAAAGGATTTTAAGATTCTTAACATATACATTTTCAATATTGAACCTATAAATTACAAAAGAAAATATTGCATTACCTTGAACAGGAGTTTATGATGCTATTAAGGGGAGGAGATTTTAGAGGAAAAGCAAGTGATTGATCTTCTTCTCCACTTCCTCCAAACTGCCATTCTTCATCTTTCCACAAGAAGTCTTGATGATGAATGGAAGATTAACATGCAAAAGCCCTCTTGAGAGATTATTGTACAAAGGAAAACGATAAAGAAACTGTTTGAACAAAAGACAATGAAAATGATATAGAAGAAAGATTTACAAGAAAATGAAGATAGTCTTGAATCTGATATTCAACGACATGGGAATGTAGAAAATGCAGAAAAAAAAAAAAAGAAAAAAAAAGGTCTAGGAGGATATGAAGGAAGAGAAACGACAAGGTGGGCAAGGATGAAAAATGAAAACCTCCGAAACGAAAGGGTGAGAGAAGGCTTCGAGAAACGGGACAAAAGAATCCAGTTTCAGCATAATAAATTGGAGGCTGTCATCGCCCGGGTGGGCTTTATTTGTTTTTGGTTAGAGAAGGACCGGACCATCTTTATGTCATCTATGTGACTGCTTACGTGGATGCTTTGTTGTTTGTAATTCTTGTAGAACGAGTAATGCGCTTGCTTGTTTGCAGGCCTTCTTAAAAACAAAAAAAAAAGTTTCTCTTACGCTTCTTAAAAACTTAAAAATATTAAAAAGTCTATTATCAGCCTGAGAAATCGTCTTTTCATATTTTTTTAATATGATATAATATTAATTAAATTTAATAGTTAAAAATTGATCAAATAGAGAAATTATGATAGAAAGTCTTAGAAAAAATAAATAATCTTTTTTCTTATTTTTCTTCTTTGTTATTATAGACTAAATAAGTGAATATCAATGGGAATCTATAAAGGTAGAAAGAGAAATAAAAGGAAAGGAAAAGTATTGGGTACAAAAGAAACAAAAGTTTACAATGTTATAATGACACGAAATAGTAAAAGCGGGGATACTATGAAGAGCAATAGTTAAAATCCCTTATCCAAATGTAATCCCTCCACCTATTCTCCCATAAACATATTGTTTAAATCATGTCATGGTGAAGCACATATTAAAGAAACTATTACCCAGCTGTCGCTTGCTCTTATTTGGCGTCTATAACCATTATCCAGCCATCAATCGGAAAGTTATTAAATTATAGGCCATGGAACATGTCGTTTTCAGTTAACAGGATTCGTAGAATCACTAGTTTTTATTAGACAGTTGGATTGGAGAAGAGTATCTTTATATTGGGAAAATGAAATTAATATTTTTATTTATACTTATTTTTGTTAGTAGTTTAAATTTATTTGTGCTAATTTCTAAATTGAGAAATCTCTAATTTTAGGAGATTTGATAATGGGTGGTCCTATTTATATCTTTTTTTTTTACTCTTTATATCTCTTTCTGAATAGACACCTCACATAATTTTAAAATAACTAAATTTTCTTTTTACACACCTCTATTATTACAAAATTACCCATAATTATTTGCAAAATAATTAATTCTTGTCCACTTTAATTTTCTTTTCACAACCACCATTTTATTTTAGTTTTTTATTTATATTATATTATTTCTATATCCCTCTATTTTCTTTTTGCTTTTTCTTTTGATGTTTTGGTGTGAAGTCTTTTTTCAAAACAAAAACAAAAAGAGATAAAAAAAAACAAATAGAAGATGAAACGAGAAAAAAATAATCCAACTTGATAAAAAACAAAATAAAATTTTTAGTATTTACGAAAAAATCAGTAAAAAATATAAACATGAAATTAAAAAAAAAGACAAAATAAAAATCGTCATAAAACTAATAGCACAAAAACTTTAATATTATATCAATGCAACTTTTAAAATAGTCATTGAAAGATGAAAATTAGAGGTTTTTTTTATAAATTTTAAATAGTATAGTTTATAATTGAAGATATAACATGTGGGGTGTGCGGAGAAAGATAAAAACTATATAATTAGTGTTTTTTAATTAAATTTAATTACATAATTAAATATATTATAATTGTCTTTTTTTGTCATTGTAGGTGAGGGTTTTTTTGTCATAAGAAAATTTAAAGTAAAGAGGGTTGTGGAGAGTAAAGCAAGGTGAGCGAATAGAACCACCATTTGATAATTTGATTACAATTTATAAGATTATTATCACCGTGTTCTTGAATTTTAAGGACATTCTTAATTTGTCTCTCTAACTTTAAAAACTCTCATTTTGTCTTCTGCATTTCAAATTGTCTCCACTTAACCATTTTATTATAATTTTTGTTAAAAACAGATAAAGGAAAAGAGAGTAATACAATCACGTAATCTTTCTATTTGAATTTCTACTAAAGACAAACAGATAAAAATTATATGATAGCACTTAATATCCTATTTTTTATTTAAATAGAAATTCTTATAAAAAGACTTAAATTAATGACATTAAAATTGAAAGTTTAAAATTTAAAAATTCTTAAAGACTTAAAAAGACTTATAAAGAAAATTGAAAGTTTTCAAAGTTTAAAGTCAAAGATAATGACATTAAAATTTAAGAGACACCAATAAAATTAATCCCGATTTATATTTATGTAAAGTTACTAATAAATTTTCTCTCTTTTCTTTACCAACAATTATAGAAATATACAAATTAGAAAGAAAAAAAAAAGCCTTTATATCTGTCTAAATTTTGTTCAAGACCCTTCGTCATCGTGCGTTCCATATGAACAGTTGTGTATTTTATTATTATTAAAAGGATAGGGAGGCCAGAGGGCATTTTACCCCTTTTGATGTCCACAAAATGCTTAGCTGTTTTTCTGACAATCCATATTACCAGCAGAGGTTGTGTTGATGGTTGGAAGCACGTTTTATTCTGGTTTGTTGCTTAAAACTGCAACACAATCTCAAATTTTTTTGGTTGCCCAGTACCAACTTGGAAATGTGCCGGTCACCTATATGTGTTTTATTAGCAACAAAATATCTTGACGTTCTCTTGAGCGCTAATTTCTATATCGAATATATATATATATATATATATATATATATATATAGTACATTTGAGAATATCTCTGCTGATCATTGTACCACATGCCTCACCAACGTTTTGTGAGGTCAGCGTATAGTTGAACATTTCGATGACACGTAGAGGTTTCAATGAAAACTTGAAACAATGAAAAGTCAACTCTAGAGATTGGTTGGAATCTTAATCATGGATATAAAGAAAAATTAAGATGAAATTGCGATATTTGTCAACAGGAAATATGAATGTATGTGTGCTTCGCCCTCAGAGTAATTTCAAGCAAAACATTAACACACTAATATATATATATATATATAGTAGGTCAAGTGTATTGCTGTCTATCTAGGGGTCCTATGAGAGTGTAGTTTTTGTCATTATTCTATGTTCTCTGTTGCTTTTTTTTTTTTTTTTTTGGAGCGAGAGTTCGTTGATGTTTTGTAGTTATGGAGGATATTGTCGGTCGGTGGCGTTCACTGTCGATTACAGAGGAGGAGTCTTTGCTAAATGTTGTTATTATAAGGTAAAACACAGAATCTTAAATTAAATTTTGTATAGGATTTATATGTTTTAAATAAGAGTATTAAATAATTAAGAATAACTCAGTCATAGTTATTACGTTAGTAAATAATTCTTTTAAGAGTCGGCTGTTGAAAATAAGTGTCAAACATATTAAGGAGTTCGATATTCTAAGAAAATATCACATAAAACTGAATCTTTTGAAATGTACTTTTGTTGAGAATGATGTCCTGAAAGCATGAGATGTAATTAAAGAATTTTATTATTTAATTAATAAAATAAAAATTTCATTATTTATGTGCATGTATTATTGAATACTTTATGAATATCATTGAAAATTTCACAATTATTTATGTAACCTTAAATATGATATATAAGTATTATATACTAGAAGATAATATTTAAGGATAATAATCAAAACATAAAGTCTATAATGGTTATCGATTAAAGTTTAGAATCTTTCATTGATCACATTATTTATACATATCATTCTTATTCTGAATGGAACGATCTTATCCAATCGTTGGTATGTCAAGATATCGAAGTGAGTGTATTTTACATAATGAGATTATGTAGGATTGGGACACAGACATAATATGAATTTTTAATAATTTTCGTTAAATATAGAAATTCTAATTGAGTCTATTGATGGTCATATATAGAATAATCTTAATCCTGAGTCGTTAGCATACTCCTATTTATGGATACGTGTCTTTGATTTACTCGGTAAAAATCTCGACACAATTAGATCTTATCCTTGTATCTTTAGAGACATGGAGAAATAGGTAGCTGGGAATGTTAAAATTACAAGATGGAATCCATTCATTCTTAAGAGAAAAGCAGATAAATAATTTTCTTGAGGCTGATTTGGTACTTAGATTAGTAGGAGCTCCGATTCATGAATGTGTTTTATGAATCACTATCCATTAGAGAATCAATGGTACTGAAGGATAAATATGTAATTAGAGAGGTTAACAGATTTCATCTAACTTTAATTATGAATTATTTATGGAGGAACGATCTATATGTAGTAATTATATCAAATGGATACTTCAAGCTCTTAGAAGTAAATTATATCTATAATTTTGAGAGTGCAATTATAAGTTTTTAGTGGAGTAACTTTTAGAATTAATAAA